TGCCACCTCACCCAGCTGAAGAAATGTTTTTACAAAAAAGAAATGATAAATGTTTTGAGTAGATATTTTTACCCAGATTTGAACATTGTACATTGAATATTTGTATCAAAACATCACACAGTATCTGGTAAATATTTATAGTTTTTACATTTTGATTTTAAAAATAAATTAGAATAAAAGTGAAAGAAAGAGCTAAATAAATGGAAGACATTCCATGTTTATGGTCAGGGAGAATTAATATGATCACTACAGGGAACTAATTTTCTGGGGTAATGGAAATATTTTAAAAAAGAGACATGATTATACAAATGTGTTACTCTTGTAGGGAGGGGAAGAATAGAAGTTCAGTGGATAAAACAAAGGTAAATGAAAAGAAGAGAGGGGGATAGGAATAGGAATAGGAAAGAGAGTGGAATGAATCTGACACAAATTTCCTATGTACACATATGAATACACCACAGTGAATCTCCACATGATGTGCAATCACAAGACTGGGATCCTAATTAGAATAAGATATGGTTTGTATAAATATGTCAAAACATAGTCTACTGTCATATATCTAAAAAGAATTAAATTTTTTAAAAAATATTACTCTACTAGAACACTGAATTATACACTCACATTTGTCAATTTTATGTCAATTCATAAGTTGAATTTTATCTCAATAAAGTGTGAAAAAATGTTACAAATTATCTGAAAAGATAATAATTTTAAATGGAACCCCATAAATGTTTAATAGCATAAAATTCATCCCTCAGCCTCAAATTACAGCCTTATGCATGCTCAGCTGCTTAGCAAGAGTTTGTATTATAATCTTGTTTAGGATTTAGAGTCTGAAAACACTACATATTTGCTTTCTCAGCCCCTGTTTTGGTCATGGACTTAAATTCAGGTTTATGGTACCTGAAAAGAATTTTCAGGAGGGTGGGGCTGTGGAGAAACTTGCCCATCATACAACAGAGAGAGGCTGGGGAGGGAGGGAAGGAAGGAGAGGGAGAGACAGAGAAGTGATTCTTAGAACTTCTGCAGGCCTTTTATAACCATTCAACACCATGAAGATAGTGGACTAGAAAGACATAAAGACCCCAAATCCTAGATAAGATTATTGGAAACAACCCTAGAACCACCAACTATTTCCAGTTATTTGGTTAAGTGAAACCATAAATGTCCCTGTAAGCCACGCTATTGGGGAATTTTGCCCTTTGCAGATGTAGTATAAGATAACCTAGGGATCAATAGTGCAGACTGCCTGTGGTCAAATTTTAGTTCTCATGATACAGGTAAACTAACTATTCTGACCTTCATTTCTAAAAGGAAATATTAACTACCTACTTTGAAGGGTGTTATGATTAAAAGAGTTAATAGAACTGGGGCTTGGCTTCCATAAGTACTCAGTAAGTGCTAAAAGCATGCTCACTGATACAGAGAATTCACAAAAAGGTTGAACTGCTGCAATTATAAGGGCTTTCTTCTATAAACAAAGATTTTCCTCTGACTTCTGTTTGCCCTGTACTCTTAAGCAATCATAAAGATTATTCCCCTCCACCTTTGAATTTTTGAGTATATGTATCATGTGATTTCCCTTTGTAAACGAAAACCAAAAACCAAAAACTTTCACTTCTTCACATCATTTACTCCTAATTTCATTAACCATTCTTGTTGGTTATTTTGGCTTTCCCTCTCTGTAAGCTCTCAGGGTCTCTTTTGAAGTGTACTCTTTAGAATTTTCAGCTGAAAAGTATTGAGTGTTTATTATATGCCAAATACTGGTCCTCACAATCCAGCTATACGCTAGTTAATGTAGGGGTGGAATTTCCTTCCTTGATTAGATCATGAGTATTTACATGAGACTAGCCAAAAGATAGCAAATATCTGATTATCCTTTCCATTTTTCTTTCTCATGGCAGACATCACCAATCAATCACAGCATTTTTCTTTTTTCCTCTTGGGGGAGGGGCTCAGAAACCTTCTCATGGCACTCCAGGAAACTATAATGATTAAAATTAAATTGAATTTCTCACTTCTTTTTTTAAAAAAAAATCATTTGTAATTGTAGACGGACAGAAACAATGCTTTTATTTTATTTGTTTATTTTTATGTGGTGCTGAGGATCAAACCCAGTGCCTCATGCATGCTAGGCAAGCACTCTACCACTGAGCTACAGCCCCAGCTCAAATTTCTCACTTCTGCATTAGCTTTATATTATCATTATGACACCAACAAAATATTTGAATCTTTTCCTTATCTATCTCTCACAAACCATGTATTAAGCCTCATTAACACGTTTAATTGATTTTTCAAAAAAATTTTACTTTTGATCTTTGTGTATTTAATTTCAAATAATTATAGTAAAAAAATGGTGTGATTTGTTTTTACTTGACACTTGTCCATATTACACATAAGTAACCATATAATCAAGGAAAAAGTTATCATAAAGATCAACCATACTATAATTGACAGAGCTCTACACATATCCCTATTAAATTTTAACAGCTTTATTGAGATACAATAACCCATTTAAAAAATATTTTAGCATATTCACCGAGGTGTGCGACCCTCACCAAGATCTCTATTAAATTCCATCGTTCTATTTTTAACTCATTTTTCTAAATCTCGTAATTCTGACATTTAGATTGCTAATTCTCCCTTGCATGCATATACTCTCTCTCTCTCTCTCTCTCTCTGCTCTAATAAAATGACACAGGATAGAGTTAAAATATTAACCCTGTTGGATGGCTATCAGTTGTGATAACTCCATTCAGCAAAACATCATTTTTTCCCCCAAGGAGAATCAAATAAATAAGCTATGAAACCACCCTCACTGCAATACCAACCAACACAACCCTGGAAGCATGAGAAATACAGTAAGGACAGTGTCTGCTTGTCAACTCAGCTAGTAATCCCCAAAGAAAAGATGATAAGTGCCAGCAGGCATGACTTGTTCTATATGCCTGAATCTTATTTTATCTTGAGTCACAAATCATGAGACCCAGAATTTGGCTAACAACTGTTAAACTCTTCTGGTCTGCAGTTGCAGGATCAAATTACTTTTTTTTTTTTTTTTTTTTTTTAAGATTAGGATAAGATTTGTGTGTGTCCAATCTTTGGCATCTCCTTGTAAAGAGTGAGTTGTTTGATTCACTGCTCTGATGTTTCCTGTCACATAATAGGCCCTCAATATTGAATGAATAAATGAATGCCTTCAACAAAAATTTCTGATAGTGTCTTCATGACTGTTTTTATAAAGTGCAATAATTAGCAATTGCTAACTTTGGCCTCCCCATCAGCCCTTATCTTAAAGGTCACTTCCTTCAGGAAGCCTTTCTGAAACCTTCCACTAAGTAAGGCACTCCTGATCTCAGCTCCATTTCACAGGAATTCATTACTGATAAAAGCTGCATGAGGAAAGTTTCTGTATTTATTTTCTGTGTTCATCTTTGTATCTCCAATTATAAGTTCCATCCCAGCACATAGTAAATGCTAAATCGATATTTGTTAAATGAATGAATGAATTGGGAACGTAATTTGCATCAGAGGCAAGAACTCCTTCGAAGTAGCCAGGTGTTCTTGTGCTACCTATTCACCTGTCTTGTGTTTTCTTAACAACTGAGGTATAATTTACATATAAAATTCACCATTAACTTCTTGCTGATTTTTCTTCTCTTTCATTGTGTGTGTGGAAATCATCTTTCTGATGGTAAAAATGGAAAGAAAATAGAGGTTGAATGTTGTGGTATCTGAGAGCCAGATTTACCAGGGTGCATTTCCTGGCTTTATTTCTCAATTGAAACCTTAAGCAAATCAAAGCCCAGAGATTCTGATTTGTAAAATTGCACTAACAGGGTGTCCTCATTGGATCCTCTAAGCACTAAATGACACATGTAAAGGATCCACTGAAGAGGAAATAACTCAAAAACTGTAGATTCCCTCCCTTCCTTGTCATGGTAACCTTGGACTTCATAAGCAGTAGGCCTATTCTTTCACCATCATCATTATTTTGTTCTGAGCATATTTTTTAAAACACCCAATCTTCTTGCTTCCCCAGTATTTCTGCAAGACCCACTTCATTCTGCGATATAGGTTTCCTGGCAAAATTCTTACAGATTTGGGTCCCTCTTTTTATTCATTCTTGAGCATATTGGTTTTTTTTTCCTCCATCTTTTGCATTTGCTGATTAAAAAGAAAAAAACCCACCTGAGATCACTAGAAAACAGTGGTTTCTTTAGTTGCCATTCCCTTTCTTCCTCATTGTGAGTATTGTGAACTCAGAATTTTATTTTTCAAAGCCTCCTGTTCTCCTAAGAGTGAACAGTTCCTTTTGCAGCCTCTTGTCTCAAAAGCATACCTATCTCTTCCTTGGATATGCTACTTAAAGTCTCCAACTGCCTGCCTTCTCTGTGTCTTGTATTACCGCCACATCCCCGGGTTTCTACCGCTTCCCCATGATCAACCAATTCTTCCCTGGGAGTCACATTACATCAGCATTAGTAATGCAATACCTATTATATACCCTTTTTTTTTTTTTTAATTCTAGGCAATCAATTTAAAACGAACCTCGGTACTGGTAAAATTTAACATGGAGGATGGATTGTCTGAGGTTAAATGCAAACTCCTGCGAGATTTGGGGACATACATTTATATTCATATTAAATATATACCTGTTGAATTTGTGCTTTTTCTCAATGCTTCAGAGACCCCGAGCTTTTGAGGGATTGGCATGGTAGAGAAGATGGGTTTCCAAATATTTCGCCAAAACTTCAAGACTCCATTAAAAGGACTGCTCCATACACTCAAGGAACACCCACCAACAAAATCCATCTTCACAACCACTAGATTAGCTCACTGGCGAGTGAGACTGCAAGGTTTGGGGGCCCGACTATACCACTCTGTGCTGCGCAGGGGGGGGTATGCTCCCATTTGCCTGCAACTAGACGTTTCCCCCTCGCTTGGTTTTGCCCCTGCTCCCCCTGCGCAGGCATCTACAGTGCGTCAGGCCGGTGCTTTATAGAGACAGCCTGGGCGGCTCCGCTCGCTGTTTTTCTTCTCTGGGTTGTGCTCTTTTTCTCTGTTAGCGAAGATGCAGCTCAAACCGATGGAGATTAACCCTGAGGTGAGCGCCGAGTGCACCGTTGCCCGGGGGAGCGGAGGGCTTAGGGTCAGCGGTGGCAAAGGAGTGGTATCGCTGACTTAAGTTTTTTCCTTTGTATTTGCCTTTCAGATGCTGAACAAAGTGAGTGGTGTCTCGTGCTTTCTCGGCCCCCCTCCCCCGAGAGCGTGGAGACGAAGGCGCCCACTGAGCCGCGCCCTGCGCGCTCCAGAGGCGGCTCGGCTGGGGCATACTGGGCGCTTTCTGCCCCTGCATTTGCGGGGTGACTCTGCGAAACCACTTCGGGGGAGATGAAGGAGGATGCGCCCAGATGGGAACAAGTGCTGGGAAGGGCTCATGAGGGCGTGGCGCTGGCCGCGCAGACTCTGGTACCCGGGCTTCGCCCGAGCCACGTGTGGGCTGCGCTTTGTGCTGTGTCATTGCACTGGCGTTGGGTGGGGCGGGGCGGGGCCTTCTCCTGGACTCGGGCGTGGGTGTGAGGTTCGCGTGTGCTGGCCCCGCCCCCTAGCAGGTGCGGGTGATTTGTCGGTCCCCGTGCGCCTGGCCGCTTTATCTCCTTTCTGCAGGTGCTGGCCCGGCTGGGGGTCGCGGGCCAGTGGCGTTTCGCTGACGTACTGGGGTTGGAGGAGGACGCTCTAGGCTCGGTGCCAGCACCTGCCTGCGCGCTGCTGCTGCTGTTTCCCCTCACTGCCCAGGTAGGGAGTGGGGTCGGGGACGGTCAGGTCCCCGACGGTGCATGGTGCTTCCAAACCCCAGCTCGCCATTGAGGGCTCCCCACCTGGCCTGACCTCCAGACCTGACTGGCTCCTTTTGTTGGGGAAAGGTCGCACCCTCTCCCGGGGGGAGGGGGTGGGGGAGGGAGTGTCTGCACTGGGGCGCCTCTTGTAGTAGTGTCTCTTCACTCATCTCTCTGGAGTTGCCTTAAATTGGGAAGAGAAGGAGCCCAATTATCCCCCGTCTCCCATCCCATTTATCCAGGGAAATCCTACGCATGAGTTGAATTTAAGCTTTTCTGGGTCTTCCACTTGGGGGACTGTTGGTTATTTCCTTTTAAGGATTGTAACCTGTCAGCTCATTATTTGCTTCTGACTCCCACCTAGAGCTAATTTGGATGGGCCTGTCCAAATCACAAGGACACAAAAGCTTTAATTCACCTTGATTGCCTCGGTGGGTTCTTCCCACCCCTTCACTCCCCACAGCATACACGCTCTTGAGTGCACCTTTTGAAGTGAAATCACTTGTGTGGGTTCGTGTGCTGGGACTCTTTTCCCTTTCTTTACCCTTTGGTCTCTCTGACCTTGTAGCTAAATGTAATAGGTGGTTATTTGTAGTATTTTGGAAACACCTTTTTATTTTCTTTAAATGGTCTTTCTCCTACAGTGGAGTGAGGATATATGTACCTCAGAGATTGAGCATCAGATAAAAAATCATAGTTGGGATATTTGTTGTCTTGCAATGTAGGGAGGCCTGGTAATTAGTGTGTTGTCTAGTTCCTATTGCTGTCACATGACTGCATTTGGGACACCATTCCAAACAGTAAAGTTAAATGAAGCATCATCCTTACACTAGGTATAACTAGAAGCATCCTTGGCCTAAACAAAAGTCCATGTGGAAGTTCCAGACCTTCCTCTTAGTACATGGGCTAAATATTATTTTTTTAAAAAAATTATTGTGGCTACAAGGATAATCTCACTGGTATGCTTTTCTAGCCAAAATCTTTACTTGGGTAAAATTTCAAATCATTGCTAGTCAAATTGGCTTCCTTGACCACATGCAAAATAATCTCTAGCTCCTACTTGAGCATCTGAGTTTTCCACTAGAGGAACCATGATGACTCTGGGGTTTTGAGCAGCACTTGGTCAAGGCCTCTGGGAGGCAGTGGTGCCGCAGGCTTGCCTTCTGAAGCTCCCAGGTCTCCTTTTGCTGGCTCCAGTGGATCTTTTTAAGGAACATTCTAGTTTGAAAGGCTGTGTTTTGTTCTTCAACCTGTCAAATTTACCAATCACCTATTCTACACAGAATTCCCACTGAGCAAAAAACACTGAAGCAAATTTAACGAAAAAGTCAGGCTTATGGGTTGAGTCTAAGAACAAACCAATGCTAAATCAGAAAGCATCTACTTTTAACTAAGGGAATATTGTGAAATCCTAAATGGACTTCTTCTAAAACATTAATTTTAAGTGGTGGTGAAATATTTGCAGAAGTATTTTCATACAACAGTTTAAATGACCCTAATGCTGCTATGGCTGTCCTATTTTGAAATTTTATCTAATTGGTCTAGAGAGGTGAAAATCTTAAACAGTCTGAGTAACAGTTCAAGGATCTGGTAGCTAGAAAGCAAGAACTTCCTACTAGTTGGGGTCAAGCTCAGACTTCATTTCCATGTACAGTAATGCAAGACAGAGTTGGAAATATTTCTTGTTCTGTCTGAATTTTGCTGGTTATGGAAAATTAGTGTTTCCTAGCATTAATACCCTGCTGTTAACAGAAGTCATAACTTTTAAGGCCTTTAAAACTCATTTGGGAAAGATCTAGACAGTCTTATTGAATTACTGTGCAAAAAGCTAGCAGATGTTCCTGTTCATATACTAGATTCTATCCTCTACTCCAGATTGGTAATCTGTCCTCAGATTAAACTGTGAAACTGGCAAGGACAACCTGCTATCACTTCTTCCTCTTGTATGGTGAGAAGTTTTTATAAAATCACAGCTCAACACTTGGTTCAGTTAGTTGTCTCTTTTCTAAAAAATGGGGGCAAAGAAATAGGTCATTTCTTTCACTTGTTCTTTTCAACAGTTAAGCTTGTATATGGTTTTGTGTTTGAAAACATCTACCTGGACAGAATAGAAGTAGAATGTTAAAGAATTAGTGTGATGTAAACCAGCTGGTGTTATTGTTGGGAATTAAATTGATCATCTTAATTAGGATGTCTCTGAAATACAGCTGGTGTTAGTGTGAAAAGAAAGAAAACAATAAACACATCCCTGTGTTCTGACTTCATGGTACCCTCCATCGAAAGCTAAAAGGTTGCAGTGGTGTCTAGACGGAGCCTTGGGCAACATCCAAGACGGTGACTGCACTGCAGCATCAGGGTGGAGTCTTGAGAACCTCCTGGAGCCCCACTGGCCTGTGTGGGATGGGAGGCAGTCAGGCCACCGTCTGGGCGTGGCCAGATCTAGAACCAAGGCTCCTGCTCACACATCCCACTTGTGTTTCCATTTAGGTAGCAGAACTCACTGTGCTGCCATCTGTTCTTTGCGTTTGCATTTTAATATGTTAAAAAAAAATGCTTCCATTCACAGCATGAGAACTTCAGGAAAAAACAGATTGAAGAATTGAAGGGGCAAGAAGTTAGCCCTAAAGTGTACTTCATGAAGCAGACCATCGGGAACTCCTGTGGTACAATCGGACTGATACATGCAGTGGCTAATAATCAAGACAAGCTGGAATTTGGTACGTGTGGCCGCTCACCCTCTATTTAAACTCAAAACATGGAGTTCAGAAGGCACAATTAACTGACCCATTTCATTCTCCTGGGCTGATCCAACAAAATCACTGTCTTAAAATGATCTTAAAACCTGTTTAGTCAGGGGTGCTAGTTAAACAGCTACCATCTGTGAGTGGATTCTTATTGTTTCTTTTGAGGGGAGGAAGCTCATTTTCTAGGAAGTGTAATTAGGTTGCCTCCACCTGAGGTGATGGTTTGTCTGCTAGCATTTTTGTGGTTCTGAGGTAAAGGAAAAAACACTGAGGGCTGATTGGTGTAGTGATTCTCACATGCTTCTCCTATTCAGTTCTCAGGGATTCTAGAGAATTAGATGATGCTGAGAAGAATATCAATAGTTAGGACCTGTCTTGAATGGTTCAGTGTCTCATAAGCAACTGGAGAACCAAACCAGCTCAGAGTAGTGAGGTTCCTCAGGGAGGAATGCTTCTCAGGGAGGTGGAGCAGCAGGTAAAAACCTTGGGGTGCAGGTATGAGCGAAGTCAGGGCAAGGGCTTTAGCTACCTGCAGTGAGTGCTATGGAGGATAGAGAGAAGTAAGTCTGAGCCCTTGAGTTTCTCAAAAGTTCAAGGAATTGGGGGGGGGGGGTTAAAATAACATGGGCATTCTGTGTGATTTAGGCCAAGGGTCAGCAGGCTTTAAAGGACAGAATAAATTTGTTTAGGTTTTGATGACCACATAGATTAGATGTAAATCAGTGGGTGTGGCTGTGTTCCAAAATTTCATTTACAAAAATAGGTGGCAGTTTGACTCAATTTAGATAATGGCCAGGAGCAGCTAGGAGATGAGTAATTTCAATTAATAGTTCATGCTGTTGCTTTTTGCAATTCCAAATACAGAGCTGGATGGAAGTGCATACCTCTAATCCCAGGTACCAGGAGTCTGAGGCAGAAGGATTTGAACCCAGGACTTTGAGGCCAGTCTGGGCAACATAACTTAAAAAAATTGTTTGGACTGGGGATGTAGCTCAGTGGTAGAGCACTGTCTAGTATACACAAGGCCCTGGGTTTGATCCCCAGCACTGTAACATATATATGTATATTTTAATTGTTATTATTTGTGATTCTGGATATTGAATCCAGGGAATCTCTACCACTGAGCTACATCCCCAGCCCATTTTGTTTTTTGAGACAGGGTCCGAGTTGCCCAGATTGCCCTCAAATTTGGAATCCTCCTGCCTCAATGTCCTTAGGAGCTGGGGTTACAGGCATGAGCCACCATGCCAGGCTTAATTGATTTTTTAAAAAAATATTTTTAGTTGTAGATGGACACAATACCTTTATTTTGCTTATTTAATTTTTTTTTTTAATGTGGTGCCGAGGATCAAACCCAGTGCCTCTTGCATGCTAAGCAAGCACTCTGCCACTGAGCCACAACCTTAGCCCTTAATTCATTTTTAATAAAGGAAATGTGGCCAAGACTCTACTCTTAATATACTTCTGAAATTAAGATAGCTTTTCCAGATCTTCTGGAAGGTGCCTTTTCAAATATTGACTTGATTACGCTTTATTTAAAAAGTTGTAGCTTGATCCTTTTATTCTAAAATATCCCTATATTTAGAGTCCTGTGTTCCTGAACTCGAGATGAGATTTTTGTAACCACATGATACTGAAGTCACATCTAATTTGTCTCATAGCCCTTCTCAGAGATTTTTTTTTTCCAGTGCTGGAGATTGAACCCAGGGTCTTGCACATGATAGGCAAGTGCTCCACTACTGAGCTATATGTATATACCCTCAGCCCCTGCAGATTTTGATATGGTTTCAATTAAACAAATTTGTTTTATTTAGATATGAAAGTTCAATAGCTATGTGATCAATCTCCTAGGCTTATCCACACTGAGCAGTAACACAGTTCTTATACCAAGAGCCTGCTAGTTATCTCTAAGCCAGACTGTGTGAGGTCTTCAGATTTCTAAGATCATTTGTATGTACAGTGCTGGGGATGGAGCCTAGGGCTTCACACATGCAAGGGAAGCACTCCACCACTGAGCTACGTCTCCAGCCCTCTAAGTTCTTTATATTGACATCTATCTGGATAATTGAATTATTATGATGGAGTTGTCTATCCTAAAATAAAAATCTTGGTTTGGCAATTATTAGATTGTGCTGTTATAGTGTCATATAAGTAATAGATGTTAATTATAGATTAGGTGTATAGATACAGCAGTAGACAAGGCAGCCCATTTATGGCCCTGAAGTCTCTCAAATGTTCCAAATGAATAAGTACTGTAATGTGATAAGAGGCCATATTAAAGACTCAGGTGATACTGGGTGTGGTAGCACTTGCCTATAATCCCAGCTGCTTAGGAGCCTCAGAAAGATAGCAAGTTTGAAGCCAGCCTTAGGAATTCAGTGACATCCTATGACCAGACAAAAGGGCTGGGGGTGTAGCTCAGTGATAGAGTACCTTTGGGTTCAATCCCCCGTGCCTCACCCCCACAAAAAAAGATGATTCAGGTCATTTCTATGGGACTGGCCATGTAAAGGCTTATGTTGGCAGTAAATATTATCATAAATGCACTCGCTTGCATTATTTTTTCTATGCTAATGCATGCATTTTCTTTTTTAAAGAGGATGGATCAGTCCTGAAACAGTTTCTTTCTGAAACGGAGAAGATGTCCCCTGAAGACAGAGCAAAATGCTTTGAAAAGAATGAGGTACAAAAAAAAAATTTCCTGAAGCATTGCTTTTAAATAATTCTGGAGAGTTTTGTGCTATTTCTTTTCTCTCTTCTGCAGGCCATTCAGGCAGCCCATGATGCTGTGGCACAGGAAGGCCAATGTCGGGTAAATGCAAATACAAATCCGAGCCAGGTTGCCCAGGTGCTGTCTGTGTTTCCATGGGAGTATTTGTAGGAATCTCTTTTTCGAGAATATAGTAAATGACCAGTGATATCCACCACCCAAGGTCAATTCAGCAGAAAATTCTACCCAAATAATGCTGTGACTGGATCTGTTCACAAAAATGGCTCTTCAGAAATTTAATTGGCAGTTGAAATTGTCTTGTATGCTTCAGATGATATAGTATGTATTATGTCTAGATTTAAATGAATCTTGCAGAGTAACACCTCTCCTAGTAATTGAGCATCTCAAGCAATCTTCTCACAGACTGCTGGGGAGGAGAGTAAGGTACACCAACAATCCTGACTAGTTCTAGAAGGTCTAAAGTTGCCATAATGGGAACAGAACATTGAAGTCAACTGCTGATGTTTTGTTTGCTCTGCCACTTTCTAGATTTGACTTTGGGTGAGATACTTACTCTCCTTAAGCCCAAGTTTCCTTCTCAGTAAAAAGCATGTGATAGTAGCACCTTCAGAGCTGTCATAACAATTCCAATATTTCTACCTTAACTGGCTTAGAATAGGGCCTTTTATGTAGGAAATATGTGAATACCAGCTTCATGATTTAAAAATACATCAACAAGCTGGTTCAAATGTGTTCCACTTGAATTGTAAGAGCATTTGTTTTCAAAAAAAGTTCATCTTACACTCATTTTCAAAAAAAATTTCTTGACTCTCTCCAGGTAGATGACAAAGTGAATTTTCATTTTATTCTGTTCAACAACGTGGATGGCCACCTCTATGAACTTGGTACGTGTCAGTCCATTTTGGAGAAGCCACTGTAGTTTCGTGTATTCTTTCAGACTTAATTTCTCTAACAGTATTGATGTATGACTTTATGGCTCTTGGTATATTGTTGTTTATGAAGCCAAAGATGTTCTCATGGGGGCACTGAACCCTTTTTCAAACCAAGCACCCTTCTCAGGAAGCTGGCATACCCAATGGAAGGCTTCAGTTATAACCAGTGAGAAGGACAGGGCAGGTCGGCACCAGTCCAAGGCATGTGTGTGCAGACTCTCCACCTCCCTGACAGCAACCCCTAGTATTATCATTTTCAGACCAGGAATACCTTTAGAAGAGGATCAATGCCTACATGTGACCTTGTTTATGTAAAAATAGTATGAATATGTTGGAGCCATTTGTATTAGCTGGTTTATGGCAACAAAAAGGAATTTCCATCTTGTTAGACTTATTCCCTTTTTATGAATGGAGAAAGACTTGCAGGTGTATTTTCTCATGTGGCAACACTCCTAAAGACTGAAAAGGGCAAAGGAGACTTGGAGGCAGTTAGCAATCATTGAAAGACAAATCTCAAAGGGCTCTTCTTGCCTCCCCCTTTCCTGGACCTCAGAGATTGCATCAATGGTCTTTTCCAAGCAATGGGGGCACATTCCCCTCTAGTAGTGGTAGCTGGATTGGGTTTGTGTTATCTCTGAACAGGTTAACCCATTAAGATCTATCATCCCAGATGTGGGAGACCTATAAAAAACTTAAATACACCACTTATGGTAACTTTTGAAAAAAGTCTTGAGATTTCTATTAAGGAAAATGATAAGATGAATGATTATAGCATTGAAAAAAAGTATATGAAAAATATATATAAAGGATACATGGATTCTGGATTATGATTTCCAACCTACTTTAGTGCACCTGTGTCAGTCTTGTTGCAATATTTGAAGAATTGAGAACTTGGGATTTGGTGGGCTAATTGTAGGTTAGAATTGCCTGGGGTGGATACCTCGCAGCTGCAGCTTCTCACTTCATGACCAAGCTTCTCTTTGCGGGGAGTGGCAGTGGTATTTAGAAGAATCCAAAACTTCCCCTGGGCTAGGTTGGCACTTCTGCAAGAAAGCATGTGGGGAAAGCTGATGTGCCTGGCTTTTTTGTTCTAGATGGGCGAATGCCGTTTCCAGTGAACCATGGTACCAGCTCTGAGGGCTCCCTGCTTCAGGTAATCTTCAGAGTGCCTCTCTGCACCACAGCTACATCTCCAGCCGGTGCTGATGCTGTCTAAAGTACTGACATTCTTCCCCTTCTGCCAGCACCAGCTGCTTGTTAATAGCAATCTTCAGGGTTTAAAGATCATCTGAGTAATTGTACCTACCTCATTTTATAGCAGGTGTTTTAAACAGGATCCTTCATATAAGCCCTAACTAATCTGTTTCGTGTGCCGTCTTTAGACCACAGTTGGAATTAGTCTGAAAGCTCTGGCTTTGCTCCCTTATGGAATAGGGTGAATATTGTCCTCCTGCCAGGTTACATGATTGTAACACCCACCTGAGTGTTCCCTAATCCTCTAAGACTGCTGTGTTCTGGTTGCTCCTATAGGTAGAGCACTGTGGATTCTGGGTATGTAAATTCAGGGTTTTTATTCCCATGTGTTCCACTGTTACAGAAGGAGAGAAGCAGATTGAAAAAATGACTCATAAGAACTTTAAGATCCAGGATCCTGTGAAATCCTGGTAGAAACCTTGAGTCAGTAGGCAGTTACTAGGCCTTTTCAACTAAAAAATGAGTTTCTAGAAGAGAATCAATTTGCTGTTATAAAGGAAAATTGCTTAATTATGATAAAATACATAATACTATTAAGGTATAAGAACTTTATTTATAGTAGTAATAATCATCTTTGAGCCCTTGGCATGTGCACAGTCGCTGCGGGGGGGGGGGGTGATGTCAGCAAACTTCTGTAATCAGAGTCAGATAGAAAATATTTTAGGAATTGGTCTGGGATTGTAGCTCAGTGGTAGAGCGCTTGCCTAGCATGTGTGAGACACTGGGTTCAATTCTTCAATTCAACTAAAAATATTTTTTAAAAAATATTTTAGGCATTGTGTAGAATATGGCTGTGTAGCAAATATTCAATTCTGCTGTTATAATTCCTGAGAAGCCCATAGACAGTATCTAAATGAATGTGTGTCATAGCTGAAGTTTGCTGACTTCTGGGCTAGATACTATCCTAAGTGATTTATATATTTGTAAAGTCTCATTAATGACGAAACAAGGTAGGACTCATTGTTCCCATTTGCAGATGAGGAAGCAAGAGCAGAGAAATTAAGTAATGCCCAAGGTCAGTGTATTAACCTCAGTGATAACCTCAAGGTGCTAGTAGAGCAGATTATGCCATTCAAGGGGAAGGGTCACTTTATTTAGACTGTCATACACGCACATCCCTGAGATGAATTAAAGCCAATTCTTGGTATATGGGAATGGTAATGTGGAAAGAGAAATAGATCTAGAAGAGCCTGATGGGATCTTTTTTTAAAATTTATTTTTTAGTTGTAGTTGGACACAATACCTATTGTTTTATTTATTTTTATGTGGTGCTAAGGATCAACCCAGGGCCTGCCTCGTGCTAAGTGAGCACTCTACCGCTGAGCCACAATCTCAGCCCCCAAGTGGGATTTTAATAAGAATCAGACTTGACTATTGGTGGGAGTGAGAGGCAAAATTTCTGGTCTGTGACACAAAAAGAGGAAAGACTGTAGTCCTTCTAATAAGGCTTTTAAGGTTCGTATTAATTCACCTCTAGATTTACACTAATACTATAAAAATGTGTCTTATGTGGAATAGCTCTTACATGAGTTATAGGGAAGGTAAACCTTGTTGAAATAAATAAAAACTGATTAATTGGAATCTCATAGTAAATGAATATAAACCAGCATCTTGTTAAAGTTGTTGCCCTAAGTAAGGCCAGTACTATAAGGTTACAGATACGTTAGGTTGTATCAACTGCACACTATATTAATTGTTAAAATGGTGAGAAACTATACAAACTCAGCTGACATAGTGGTGCACGCCTGTAATCCCAGCTACTATGGAGGCTGTGGCAGGAGAATTGCAAGTTCAAGTCCAGCCTTGGCAACTTGGTGAGATCCTCTCTCGGAAACAAAATTAAACATAAGATAGAAGGGCTGGGGATGTAGCTCAGAGGTAGAACACTCTGGGTTCAATTTCTGGTACTCCATTGTAGTTGATGCTTTTTTAGGGTTAAACTCATTTTTGTTAGTGATTTCTAAACTTCAGAAACTGAAATTACATTTATATTCTGTCATTGAGGATTCTTTTTCTTCTTAAAGGTTCTGAATGGCTTATTGGCATGATCTTTCCACCAAACTTTTTACAAGTTGTACAGATAAGCCCTACAGTTTGGCAAATAATTACATTTGGATCAATTTTCTGTTACTGGTCTTTCTAATTAGAAATAGGAACAAGTTTCACAGCACCAGAAAGCTCTTAAGAATTCATCACTTTATCTGTACCTGGGATTACCCCAGGTAAACTTTAAGGCTGTTTTATAAAATGTTTACTTGAAAGAAATTTGTCTCTTTTCCAGGAGTTCGAGGTAGAAGAACTATTCTCTTAATGCACCATTAGGAAGAAAAGATCAGGTTTTTTGTTTAAATTTTTCTTAGTTGTAGACACACAATAGCTTTATTTATCTTTATGTGGTGCTGAGGATTGAATCCAGTGCCTCTCCTGTGCTAGGCAAGTGCTCTACTACTGAGCCATAATACCACACTGAGGGATCAGTTTTGTACCCAGACCAGGCACAAGGCTAGGGAAGCCCAGAGCCACTTGGTGCAAGTGATAAAGGGGTTGGAGCTGCCTTTCCTGGCACCTGGTGGTTTTTTTTGTTTTTGTTTTTGTTTTTGTTTTCCTCTTGCCCTAAGCCCTGACTTTCAAGGTTAGAGAGGTATTTCAAGTTGATGGGTACGCCTTTTGAGACTTCCATTTCAGGCTGTTTCTGCTGGAGTATTAATGTCTGCCCTCCTCTCCAGGACGCTGCCAAGGTCTGCAGAGAGTTCACCGAGCGTGAGCAGGGAGAAGTGCGCTTCTCTGCGGTGGCCCTCTGCAAGGCAGCCTAGTGCCCCGTGGGAGGCACCTGGCTGTTCTCCCCTCCTCCATCCATCGTGAAAATACCTCCCTGCCAAGCAGTCTTCAGTGCTTCAGTCCTTGTGAAACACGGCTGTCTCCTWCCACACGCTCGCTCCTCCCTCCACCACACCCRAGCACTAGCGGAGATCTTGAGCCAAGTTGGTGTGAGCTTCAGAGGCGAAGCGTCTCCCCACTGTGTGTCTTGTTCCTTAATAGCTTAATGCTTTCAATGGCAACTTTGGTTTGTGTCTGTAAGTTAAGGCCTTGGATGTGGTTTAATTGTTTGTCCTTAAAAGAAATAAAACTTTTCTGCTGATGAGAAATAAACCTAAGTTGGTTCTCATTATCTTTACTTCACCTCCTCCCCCAATATCTCTCAAATTATTTTGACATTAATATAGGAATATCTTATAATACAAGTTATACAACACAGATAAGAAAATTACTATAAAAATACTACTGGTTTAGTGTGTTTAGACTTTTTCCTATGCATTTATGTTCCTATGCATCCTTCTGGAAACTAGAGATTTCTTAAATGAACCATTTTAGGGACAATTTTAGTTTCATAGAAAAATTAGATTCTAGAGTTCTCATGAATGGTTTGTCCTTTTTTCTGTATTAATATTTTATTAGTATGGTACCTTGGTTATAATTTATGAACCCCAGTACTGTTACTCTGCTGTTAACAAGACTACAGCTTGTTCATATTTCCGTGGTTTATACTGAGCATCCTTTTTCTGTTCCAGGATCCCATCTCGGGTGCATTACGTTAAGGTGTCGTATCTCCCTAGGTTATTTGGACTGTGCCAGTTTCAGACTTAGATTTGAGGAGGAGTGATCAAGTAGTGTATAGGATGCCCCTTGGAGCTTGTCTGTTTTTCTGATAATTAGACTAAGGTTATAGTTTCAGGGTGGGAGACCACAGAGGTAAAGTATCATTTCATCCTAAAGGATTCATACTGTCAGCTGATTTAATCCCTCTTAGTACTGACCTTCATCACCTGGCTGAGGTCATGCTGGCCAGGTTTTTCCACTGCAGTTTACTGCCCTTCCCATGCTAGTTGGAAGCCTCTGTGTCCTCTTTCGGCTTTAGTAACTTTAGGAAAAGCAATTGCCCTCTACCACATCTTCATTATTTCATGTTGTGGATTATTATTTTGGTGTCAGGAATTTAACCCAGGAACGCTTTACCACTGAGCTACATTCCCCAGCCCTTTTTATTTTTTGAGACAGTCTGAGTCGCTGAGTCTGGCCTTGCACTTGGAATCCTCCTACTTCACCCTCCCAAGATGCCAGGATTACAGGTGTGTGCCAGCTCGGAAGGACCTGGCTTCTAGAAGGTTCTATATTGCCACCATCTTTCCTGAGCTCTCACCCCTGCACACAGTATCCTCTACTTTGAATTCCACATAAAGGCAGATCCTCCTGAGATTGTGTGCTCAAGACTTTTTTTCAACAAACACAATTGACATCTTGGATTTGTCAAAGAGCTGTTTATAATTGGCTCATTCCCTTACTCCATTATTCCCTGAGATGTTACTAGTGTTTGGTGATGAAGGGGTCTCTAGAGCTCCCCCAACCCCATATTGGGGATTGAGCCCAGGGGTACTATACCACTGAGCTGCATCCACAGCCCTTATTTTTCATTTTGAGACAGTCTCACTAAGTTGCTGAGGCTAGCCTGAATTTGTGAACCTCCTGCTGCAACCTCCCAAATTCCTGGGATTACAGGTGTACACCACTGTGTCTGTCCCCCTCCCCATAGAGTTTTTAATAGGCAAAGACATCTGATTCTAAGCATTTTCCCCTCAACTATCATGGGAAAACCATGCCATTAACGGACCAGGTATGTTTGTGTCTGAATTTATTGAATAACAAATTTATAAACTAACACCACTGTCAATGGTTGTAAATCATTGAATACTCATGGGTCACTTGATAGTCATACGGTAGGCAATCACAAGTTCTTCCATTCCAATTTTAATTTCTCATCTCTATAATACTCAAATCATGCATGATGCTTCACACAGTGATAGATACAGGTCACAGAAAGACTTAAGGTTAAAGGTGGCCACAGGTCTATAGGATTCTGTGCCAAGAGCACAGCAGAGGTCAGCTACAAATGCAGAGTCAAAGAATCACTGCAGGTGGTCAGATGGGGATTTTAGCAAACTATGGGTTTCTGCAGAGTTGTCAAGGCAGAGGGCTCCATGGATGACAGTTTTAGTGTCGGATCAAGGCATCAGTTTAGAATGGGCTGTGCATCATTGTCCTGAGCAGGGGAAACTGTTGCCTAGGGGACAGAACTGGAGGTTCCTCTCTGGCAATTTTCTTGGAGGAGACTTACGATGAGCTAACTAGGTGACATGTCCAGTGTTTGAGGGGGGTCCCCTTTTTATGGGTTTTAGGGGGTTGCACCTGGTGAGGTTGATAAGCTCCTGTGTCTGGTGTCTCTGCTATAATTTGGGATGGCCATATGTCCAGGTGCTCCTGATTGAATTTAAGTTGGCAGGAGTAAGTCATGAATTTGTGCCTTACAGTTGTGCTGGGGAGGTGGTGGTGGTTTAGTTGTACAAACAAGGGGTATGGTCATTCTACCTTGGCACTTGTACTCAAAATGAAGTAACTCATGGCAAACTACTGCTTTGTAAAATGAAGTAACTCAAGCTTAGGAACAGCCTGAAAACTAGTGTTTGTGGAGTAACTCAGAGCAAGGCATGCCTGCTCTCCACATAAACTAATACCCCAAATGTTATAATGCTTTGACTGACTCAGACACCCACAAACAAGGAAAAACGTTCATGTGGAAACTGGTGAGATGGTTTTGCAAAATGCATATACATACTGTCTAGAAAAGACAGGACTATAATTAGCTAAGAATTAATTATATTCCAAGTGTGTTACACATTTTACATAGTCACCATTTGATTTGGTATTATTTTCATTTCGCATTTAGAAAATGAAGACACGGTAAAGCTTAACAAACTTGCTCAATGTCCTTTGGTTAATAAGTGATGTTGCTGAGATTCAAACCCAAGCAGACTGGTTTTAAGAGCCTGCAATAGTTAATGAATTTCCTGGGCAGAAATGGATTTATCTTAAAGCATGTGATTTAAGTTTTTATGGCCCCAAATTTCGATGACCTCTTCCAACACTCTGGCTTTTATGTCCTTATTAAATTTGCAGCATTAAGATATTTTTGTGTCTTTATTCCCTAAAACATGACTGGGCTGGGGTCACAGCTCAGTGGCAGACACTTGTCTCACGTGTGTGAGGGCCGGGGTTCAATCCCCAGTTCTGCAAAAATTAAAAATCTTGGCTCTGCCTTTGTGTGTTGGGATGATGGTGGTTTACACTATATCCTCACTTTCCAAGCTTTCTAAAATTAGTTGTTATTTTTATAATAAGAAAAGCCCCCCCTGGGACTGAGAATTTTTCTATCAGCTTCTGCTGATTATGTCTAACTTACTTTCAAGTTTCTTCAATTTAAAACTGAAGCCAGTTCAACTTATTCATCATCTATATTCTAATATATTTTTTCAACAGGCTCCATGATAGGGCAACTTTAGCACTTAAAATAATCATTTTTATGCTGTCTTTTTTTTTTTAAGTTATTTAATCCAGGGTGGGGGCTTAACCACTGAGCCACATCCCCACCCCACCCCCTCTTTTTGTATTTTATTTAGAGACAGGGTCTCACTGAAATGCTTAGGTCCTCAGAAAGTGGCTGAGGTTGGCTTTGAACTCGTGATCCCCCTGTCTCAGCCTCCCAAGCCACTGGGATTACAGGCATGGGCCACGGCACCCAGCTTATGTTGTCTTTTCTTTAAGTGATTTATTTTTTTATGTGGTCTCAAACCTCCATCTATTTGGAGCTCGTTCAGGGTCCTGCATACCCTGCCATGTTAAATAATGACTTGACAGGCTAATTTGGCAGCTACTTTCTTTGTCCTCCTTAAATGAAGCGATCTTTTTAATTCACCCTTGTGTTTATGTGTTTGATTTCTCAACAGGGTTGGCACTCACTAAGGAACAGGTGCCGTCTGGCCACTGTGAATGGCCTGTGTGGTCAGATGGCCCTGTGTCAGTCCTGGCTTAGCATTTACCCTACAGCCTTATAGGATGGGATGAGGACTGTCCCACAGGATTAGGACTGAACAAAAAAAACCACTTAGTTTAGTGCATCGCATGTCTCAAGGGTCTCATCTCAATTTGACAAAAACCGGCAAAAGATGATTGAGAGCCAGGCACGGTGGCACATGTAGTCTTAGCTACTTGGGGACACTGAGGTGGGAGGATCATTTGAGCCTAAAGTTTGAGAAGTCTGGGAAACACAGCAAACCCCAACTCATATCTGTGTTTATGTCTTTATAAACAAAAGGGAGAGAAATGTAGAGAAGTCTCAGCAGAGGAAATAGTATGGATAAAGTTCCCTTCTAGTACAAAATATCTGGCTTTGGACAACTCAAGGCACTTGGTTTCCTTGGTCATATTCATCACAATATTGTTAAACTGAGTAGAAATCAACGAATATATTAATGTGTCTCCTAACTCTATTAGGAATCAGATGTTCTCCGTAGGTTTTTTTTCTTTTAAATTATGATCGTCCGTGAGTGTGGTACATGTATCAGAATTAATGAACTAATCCATGTATGGTGATTAACAGAAGTCTATCTTTTATCCATAGTTCTTTATTTTTCACCTAATGTCCTCTCATTTCACAGCATCCCCTCCGGGACACCGTTTAGTTACATAGCTTTCACATCTGCTTGGGCTCCTTTTGACTGTGATTTAACTAAAACTAATTCTGTGGACGCAGGTGCTGCCTTGGCCTTGTCTCCTGTCGGTTCTGCTTGTCTCTGGCCTCCAGAGGACACACCTTCAGGCAGCAGAGCTCTGGCTAAGAGCACTGGCCATCAGCACCGCCCCCTAGCAGCTGGCCACCTTGGCCGACTGAACCCCTAAATCACATCCACAGAGTGAGGTCAGTGTCTCCTGGGCTTGTCCTGAGAAGCACTGAGACACTTGGACAGTTCTTGGAGATATGCCTGGAATCTAGTAAGTACTGTTGCTTTCATTTTTGTCACCACCTCTGTTGTGTCCCTCTCTCCCTTTTCCATGCCTTAGTTCCAAGGTACAAAGTGCTCTCCTCTTCTGTTCAGTGCCCAACCAGACCTCATTTCCCAGGATAATGCCCCATCTCCAAAGTATGTATTCCTATAAGTTATTGTCCTAAACCACAGCTCCCGGTGCATCCATGCCTTTTCTTTTCACTGAGGGTACATTCTGTCTCACAGTAAGACAGGACAAGTGTAAATGTA